GTGGAGGAAGATGGGCACGGATGTTAGCCCAGGGCCAATCTTCCTCAGCAAAAAAAAAAAAAGAAGAGGATTGGCATCAGATGTTAGCTCAGAGCTGATCTTCCTCACACACACAAACAAAAGAAAGGAAATTTCAGCCCAATATCTCTCTTGAATATAGATGCAAAAATTCTTAACATAATTTTACTAGCAATTCAAATACAGTAATATATAAAAAGGATAAGACACCACAATTAAGTTTGGTGTTGCATATCTCTACCTGGCACCAGATATGTAAATATGAATTAACCAAAGCCCATTTCCTCAACATTAAGTAGATTTTTAATAGAAATAGACATATGTACAAAAAATTGCAATAGGGGAAGGTAAGAGTAAAAAGTTTTAGAAGAGCAGAGAAGAGAGAGCACCTACTCCTGGCTTGGCAAACAGGGAAGATTTCAAAGATTACATGACATTTAGATTAATCCTTAAATAAAAGTGTGTGTGTGTGTGTGTGTGTGTGAGAGAGAGAGAGAGAGAAAATGCCTAGCAATTACAAGAAATGGTGAACAATTTCATGAGGTCAGAACAAAGGTTACACAGGGCCTACGTTCTATAAAAGGTTGTATATACTTAATTAATTTTTTCAGAGAAATGAAAAGGAAAAATAAGGGTCCAAAACAATTTTCTGCATTAAAGGAAATGTTCTATAATCTGTATTGTCCAATGTTTTAGCCACTAGCCGCATTTGACTACTGAGTACTTGAAATGTAATTAATGTAACTGAGGGATTTTATTAATTAATTCATATTTTTAATTTAAGTAACCACACGTGCAACTTACACTGTGAAACGTACAGTCTAGCAAGGATGACCCCTGGTTAGCAATGAAAATATATTTACTGCTGCAAAGGTGAAACAGAGGGCATCATGGAAACATATAAGAGTTTGAGAAAATCAAATAATCAGAGAAGTCTGCCAGAAAGACAGTAAAATTAAAGCAGAATTGCTGAATGAGTAGAAATGATTTGAGGTGCCAAAGAAACCACTTCTAGGAGGCAGAGAACGTACGGGAGTGTGACTGTCCTGAAGGAGAAGGGGTAGTGTCAGGTATGAAAACAAGTAAACAAACAAAACCCACAGATGCTCTCAAATGGCAAAAGTGAAGGTGGCTGGTATGAAATGAATCTGAAATTGTAGGAGGTGGTCAAATCATACAGGGCCTTGGCCCAGTTACTTGACACTTTATATTGAGGGCGTGAAGAAACTTTTTCGTTTTTTCTGAAATGTGAGAAGTATAAATTTCTTAGAACAAGATTATATTCCAATGGACTCAATTCCATCCCCAGCTGAAAGATTACATGTGGATCTTGTTAATGAGAACTCTGGGCTGGAAGCATGACTAAGAGGGGATAAGATGACATTGGCGGTCTTAGTAACTCACTGTCCAAACTGTCAGATTGTCTCTTGTCTAATGATGTTGGGGAAGTTGGTTATCTGTTAAAAAAGCAATAGAAATAGATCCATATCTCTCATAAGAATAAATTCTGGATGGATGAAAGATATAAATGTAAAAATAAAAGCCACAGAAGTATTAAATATAAATGAATATTTATATAATTTTGAAGTATTTGTGGAAGGATGTCCTAAGAAGAATAGGTCACCGAGAGTTCATGATAGCCTGTACAATCTTTTTGAATTGAACCACACCATAAAAAAGTTAAAAGATAAGGAAAGGTTTTGAAAATACATGTTGCAACAGATAAGACATACCAAGGGTTTATATCCATAATACAAAAGTATATCCTACTAACAAATAAGATTATATAAACATAATGAAAAGTGAACACAAGTTATGAATAACAAATTCATAGATGAGAAATAGAAGTATTAAAAAGTTCAATCTCTCTATTAGTTGGAGAATATGAAGTTTAAAAGAATATATAATATTTATACACTAAGCCCTTACTGTATCCTAACCACTCTGCTAAGCACTTTTATACATTATCTCATTTGACCTTTACAATATCCTATGAGTTAGGAGTATTAGTCTTATTTTATGAGTAGAGAGACTGATGCTCAGAAAGATGAAAACATTTTGGAAGTTTACAATGATATTGGATCTCTTTAACCTCAAAATCCAGGCGCTGTGATTCAGTCTATATGACAGTGGTTTTACCATTAAATCAATTGTGGTGCCATTTTTGTCTCTCTTTTTGCAAAACTTGTATATGATTTACTATATCCCGTGTTGGTTGGTATATAATGAAAAGGACTTTCCTGCAGGAGGAAAATTTTGAAGTATCAAATTTAATGCTCACTTATATGTTATACCAATACTTGTATATGTGTGAATGAATGCATAAAAATAGACTTAGCGTTGTAACTAATGATGTGGAATTGGTAGCAACTTAGTTCCCTAAATCTTAATCAACAATGAAATTATTAAATTATATACAAATCTCCTCTGGTATTCTGTGAAATTGTTATAAAGGATGAGTTCTGTCTAGATAATTTGACAAGGAATTATATCCATTATATGGGGTTAACTGAAAAAAGGAAAATTACAGAATATTTTGTGTAGTAAAATTGTATAAGGAAAAATATCTCTCTGAGCACGTGAATGTGATTGTGTTTGTGAGTGAACATATAGAAAAAATATCTGGTAGAACACACTGTAAGTATTTAATATTGGTTAATTTGAAGATTTCAGGACACATGGAGGATTGGTTGGAAACATAACATTGGTTGGCCATCCGTGTTACTATACACTGTTGACTTGATACTTGATTCTCTGACACTAGTTGCTCATAGTATTAAGCATATATTACTCTTAAAATTAAAAATAAAGTTTCAAGTACTCTTCTGACTTTTAAAGATATTAAAATGCTTTTTTATTCATTAATTCTGCTTTGTGCTGGTGGAGATGTATAAAGGACTAAAACATGGGTACTACCCTAAGAGAAGGGTCCACTGGGGTGTAGCTCAGCCCTGTGTTTAAGCAACCCAAAGGAAGTGAGAACAAATTATCTCCTGAGTTTGGACTGAGTGCCACGTGCAAATTAGGAAAATGAAGTGCAGCCAAAGGGAGACCAGGTTGATAGCATAAGGTGGTTGGTACACTCCCACTTTCATCTGACTATGTTGCTTAGGTTTTCAGAAAAGTATATGTCATGGCATCACTCTATTTCTTGAGCTTCTCTCTCCTTGCACCCTCGCTTTCCTCACTCTGGTCTTTTATGGATTTATATGGTGACCAGGCAAGGTAAAATTGTTTTATGTTTCGATAGTATTCAGTATTCATCTAATCCAGGCAGCTCTGAAAGGTTTTACTTTCCAGTCATTCAGCAGGATTCCCTGGAAATTTATTTAAAGAACTCTCAGGATTTCAATAGCAGCTTCTTGAAGTTCAAGTCAGAACCACACTTATGTTTGTATGGAAAGATAAAAAAGATAAAGAAAAATTTATTTTATTTATAACAGAAGCTGTAGTAAACTTGCATGCCATCAATCCTGTACTTTTTCTATGTGAGAGGCTTTTTTGTAATAGAGGAAGGCTGAAGTAAATGACAAAAAATATCCTGAAGTATAGTATGAATGCATTACATCTCATATTTTAAGTAAATGAAGAAAAATCTTGGATTATATTTCTGACTGGAATCATTGGACGTATCAGAAAGTAAGTATTGTTCCTATTTGTCTACAAATGTATTTTTATCTTTCTCCTATCCAAAGTTGGAATAAATTGCAGGGATCCTCACATTATCACTTTAACATATTTATTCTTATTAATTTTATGTTTTAATATTTCAGTCACTGTTCAAACCACAGTAACAGTCTCTGACTTTGATCTTCCAATTTTGCTGATATGTTAATGACAAAATACGTATATTCCTAGTGGAAGAGAATCTTGATTGTCAGAAAAAATAAGTGGAAGAAAGGCACAATACCAGCTTTGACGCTTATCACCTGCTGACTAACCCAGTTCATGCTGTAGAAAGAGAATGATACAACAAATACTATTGAGAACCTATATCATAGATAAAATGCTGGTTGCTAAGAATAAAGAGAGAACAAGGCAGGTAAAAATCATATATATTAGACTTTAGCGATTTGTGGTTTCTGTATACTAAACCTTAAAGAAAATTTTATTCATTCTAATTATTTCTAGAAAGAAGGCAATGAGATATTTGGCATCAAAAAACGCTCTTATGTGGTCCTTCTTGTCCTCAGGCAAGTTTAAGAGTAAAAAGAAAAAGTGAATATAGTAAAAAAAAAAAAAGTCAATTGTTAATTTAAGTAAGAAACATAAAAATGATACAAACAGATCAGTACGTTGTAGAACTATATTATTGATATGGCTCTATCTATGTGAGCATTAATCAATATCACTGGCTTCTGTTTTCTTTCCTATTAGTAAGAACTTTACTCTTGTTTACAATCAGGGTAATTTTAGTCCTATATTTCTGTGATTCTGCACATATTTATTTCTGTTGGTAATATTTAAAAGAATATATATTAAGAATAAAAATAATCATAGCCAATACTAAGTTCAGGAATTGTGATTGAGTCATCAATTTCCACCAAAGCCATGCAAGACAAAAAAGTTTGTAAATGACGTCAGAAATAAAACCCAAAATTAGATATTTCTGTCCTAAAAGCAGATGGTCTTCAAAACTGGAAAATGATGTCTTCATACCCAAACTAATGCATAAATATTGTTGTAGAAACATATAATTAAAAGTTATATTGCACAAATAGAAAATGTGATATTTGTAGATGTTTTATGTAAAGTCTCTGATGTGGGGACTTTTAACATAGATCTGTGAATACGTTTCTTTTTCAATGAAGGACGTGTGAAATTTTTCTGCTTTAATAGGAGTGGATATTGCAAAAATGCTACAGGGAAGAAAGTCCACCTCTTCATTTCATTGGAGCTATTAATACCAACATTTAAATCTTTGATTCATGTACAATTCATTGTTCTTTCTTTTTGTTTTGTTTTTCACCAATAGATTTTGCTTAAAGAAAAAAGTCAGTATGAGAAACCACACAATGATTACAGAGTTCATACTCTTGGGCATATCAGACAACTCAGAGCTTCAGGTTGTAATTTTTGTCTTTTTATTTATAACTTATTTGTTAAGTGTCACTTGAAACTTAACCGTCATCATCCTCACCTTGACAGACTGTCATCTAAAGACTCCTATGTATTACTTCGTCCGGAATTTCTCCTTCTTAGAAATTACATTCACCAGTGTTTCTATCCCAAGATTTTTGTGGGCAATCATTACTAAAATCAAGACCATTTCCTATAACAATTGTTTAGCTCAATTATTTTTCTTCATCTCCATGGGTGTGTCTGAATTTTTTCTTCTAACTGCCATGTCCTATGATCGCTATGTTGCCATCTGTAAGCCTCTCCATTACACCACCATCATGAACAGGAAAATCTGCGCCCTGCTCATCTTTAGTTCATGGCTAGGAGGTTTTCTTACTATTTTCCCACCACTCATGCTTATCCTCCAGTTAGATTTCTGTGCTTTCAGTGTGATTGATCACTTCTCTTGTGACTATTTCCCCATTTTACAATTCTCACGCTCAGATACATGGCGTTTAGAGATGATTGGCTTTCACTTTGCTTTTGTTACTCTGCTGTTCACACTGGCGTTAGTGATTCTGTCCTACATGCGCATCGTTAGTACTGTTTTGAGAATCCCGTCTGCCAGTCAGAGGAAAAAGGCTTTCTCCACTTGCTCCTCTCACATGATTGACGTTTCCATCTCCTATGGAAGCTGTATATTCATGTATGTCAAGCCTTCAGCAAAAGAAAGAGCATCATTGACCAAAGGAGCAGCTTTTCTCAACACTTCAATTGTCCCCATGCTGAACCCTTTTATTTACACCCTGAGGAACCAGCAAGTAAAACAAGCTTTCAAAAACTTGGTTCATAAAGTAGCATTTGATAGAAACAAATGAAAATATGTATAACATGAATGAATGTCACTGTGAAGATACAATAAAAGAATTAACTTTAACAATGTCCTCCTATATCCATCTCACAGATACCTGCAACGCTGAGCTCATTTCCTTCAGCTTTCTTTTTAACCTAAAAGTGACTATGTTGTGTCTTCCTTTCAAATTATCTATAGGTTCCAGGTAATCATTTATTTACAATTCTGAATAGAAAACCAATGGCTAGAGAGCATAAGTTACTTTGCTGATTCTTCTGAATAATAAAAATATTTTATACTGTAATGGCTAAAGGAGTGTACACTGTTTTAACCAACTTACTCTTAAATATTATTTCCTGTTAACTAATATAACAGTGTCTTTCTTAAAGTTATGTGATATATGAAATAAATTAAATATCTGTAACAATCATATTTTTTGTATGCTATCTGCAGTATCTGTTAAATTCTTCCCACTCATCTGATGGACTTGGATATTTAATTTCCTTCTTACAAATAATTTGAAATTCATAATATCCTATATTTCTTAGTTATACTGAAGGCATGTGTTATGTCTCATTTTACGTACTCTCCTTGTTTATCTGTATTTTTTTTAAAAAGATGAAGAAGAAGAATATTTGGGCAACTACCATTACTCTTATGCCTCCTGAAAGTTTGATAGGAATTTCATAAATAATAGCTATTCTATAGAGAGCATTTATTCTGTGCCATAAGCTGAACTAGGTATGTTTTATACCAGATCTTATTTAATTTTTACAGATATATACCAAATTAGACAAGATTATCTCTTTTTAACAAATGTGTAAATTGATGCTCAGAAAAGTTGAGTAATTTCCCTGAGGTCTTGAGTTATAATAGCCAATATGATAGCCTGATTTGAAAAAACAAAACAAAATAAATAAACAAAAAACTTGTGTTTGTTCTATTTTATGCATATTTGAAACTCTGTAAGGACCTGAAATTTTTGCATAGTTTTTACTAAGGATTTGCACAATTTTACTGTTTTTTTTTCACTAATATTATCTCACTTGGGCATGATTATATTATTATAGTCTATTCAGAAAAGGTACTAAATCCTATTATAGTAATTGGCATGTAAAGTACAACGTTAATCAATAAAAATAAGAAACTCTTCAACTGCCATTCCTGGATCACGAGTGAGCAGGAGAAAAATTTATAAAGTATTAGCAGTATATGGTACCAAAACTTGTTATTGGAAGGCAGGTTAAAAATAATGGAGATAATGAATGTCCTTAGTACAATGTGATAGATTACCAGTTTAAAAAATTGCATGGAGAATGTGGTAGAGATCTGCATCAGGAATTAAGATATTTGATTTCTAATCTCTGTCTGAAAAGTAATGTTAAGGGAAACAAACTTCATGCTTAGTGTTGTTTGCTTGTTGTCACTTTTTTTCCATCTCATTGGACACTGTCCTTCAAGCTTCTTTTTCCAATTTCAATACTAATGTGTATTATGTTTTGTATTCCTTAGTGTTTTACGTACATTGCTGTTCTGGTAATTTTGATTCACTGAATTAGTCCCTTTGAGCCAGCGGCAGAGAGAATAGACAAGAAATTAACTGGCTTGTGCTACATAAAATCCATGTAGAAACCATACCAGAGAGTTTTAAAACACCTCCTGATATTTTTTTCTCTTGTATATTTTCTCCTTTCTCACTCTCTGTAGTCAAGGAAATATATCCCTTCTGGATAAAATGGAACATTTAAGATAAAAAACATTGACAATAGAAAGCAAATTTATTCAATGAGAGCAAATGTTTTCAGAATTGCTGGTTTCCCTGGATTACAACATTGGTAGTTACTAATATTTTTTATATTCCAGCTATTCTGAGTGATAGTGAACCTGTAAGAAAATCAGAGGTAAGTCGGACATACGAAAGGCAAGGGAAGTCTCCCAAACGTTATCATTGATTCATTACTTGCCAGCTCAACTTTTAATCAAATTAAATAGGATATATTGGAGTTTTATTTTGTAACTGGGTATATTAAAAAATATAAAAAGTTTATTGTATTTTGTTTTATTATATCAATTTATTTATTCTATATTAACGCCAGGAAATTACTATCCCAGTCTCTGTGTGTTTCTAATTGAATATAGGCTATGTACTACTTTGTTTAAGAAAATAGATGTTAATTTTTGGTAGTCTGAGATTATATTTGACATTTGCTAGCTATATGAATATATCTAAGTACATAACCTCTCTGAGCCTAATTCTTTATTTGGGAATAAAGATAAAAGTTTCATAGATGTGTTTTAAGAGCTCAATGAGGTAAAATATAAAAGTCATTATTATTTCACTGGAATAAATAACATCTTTGCTAAATGACAATTAATATGAATATCCTTCCCCAAATTAATTCCAAGTGACAGAAAAAATAAAGTAAATAAAACAACTACTCTTAAAGAATATTAAGTGCCACATGATTTATAGATGGTTTTCAGTTATATTATTGCAATTAATTCTCCAAAACACCCTTGAAATTTAAATTCCATTTTAAACAGAGAAAACTGAAGCTTAAAGAAATTAAGTAATTCATCCAAAGTCACAAATCAATTAAGTGGCCATTTGTATTTTTAACCCATGTTTCTCAAACTGCAAAACCCATATACTTTCTGTGATAAAAATTTACCCTAGAATGTCATAAATAAAAAACTAATAGTGTTTTGATGACATAATCTTATTATTTTTTTAAGTTTCTTAAAATTATAGGTGGCTAGCGAATGAAGTAAAAGTATGAGGTTATGCGTTGATATTCTCCATAAACAGATATGAGTGTTACTATTCCTGAAATTATCATTAAATATGATGTCATGATGTCTATTTTCCCTTGATTTTATTCTATGAACACTGCATGAATGCTGAGCATCGAATCTGTCCATCATTATTGGAATGAAGAAATATAAATGATTCCGATGTCTCAGGGACATAGCCATCTAAAATAGAGAAGAAAAAAAAATGGTGAAAAGCATCTAATAAAACAATCCTTCCAACTACTGGATGAGTTCTCTTGTGTAGTCTTTGTTTCTTGCAGGCGAAGGGAAGTTCGTAAAGGAGCCCTGTGTCACGGCCAGAAGCCCAGAATAATTGAGCAGTGCCTAAAGTAAATTTAGAGTAATTATGAAGCTGAATTAGATGTTACCCACAACAATGAATTAAACAATTTTCCTTTTCTCTAATGTACTAACCTAAACCCTGAACAACTCTTTAAACTCATAAAGTAGAAAGAAACAGAGTGATATGGTCAATAAAGTACATTGCTTTGGAGATATGATTTGTGAATTTTTTCTAATGACCTCTGATGAAGTATAAGAGAAGAAGAAAGAATTTAGTAAAAGTAGAAAAAGTGGAAACAATTAGACTTTCAAAGCTATTGCATTACTAAGGGATATTTCCACACAATGCAACATAAAACATTATTAAAAACAAAAACAACAACAACAAAACACACCAGAAATAAAATGGAACCAGTCTAAGGCTCTTCTCTCAGTCTGTAAAAGAAACATCCTTTGGTCCTTCAAACATAATGTATCCTTCAACAAAGAGTCCCTTTCTCACCTTGGGCATCAAAGAAATCGTTAATATCTAGTTTATCTAAAGGGTTATTGATAATATTAACTTGACGGTAGGGCTTTTCAAAGGGCAAAATATGAGGATGTTTTCAGAATGACTCCTTTAAGATGCTTTGTAGCCATCTTATTTAACAAATATGAAATATTATTGTTAATTTTCATTTTCAATAATTCAAAGATTCTGTCTCAGGGATTCTTAGAAGGCAAATAAGAATTGATTTTGTTGAAATGGTTGGAAAGAAATATAAAGCTTAATAACCTAAACTACGTTCTTCCGGGAGGAAATATGGATCAGCATTCAGAAATAAAAAGCTGAAAAGATGAGTTAAATGCTTGGAGATAGCCTTCAGACTGTGCATGACTTCATACTCCGCATCCTTAGGATGGCTGAAAGCTCTAGGAATCACAGGCCCCTTGTTAAACATTGAAGTTTATTACTTTCAAAAGGCTGATGAATGAATGAATGCAGATAATTGTTATCAGGCTTATTTGATGCTGGTGAATGAATACAATCCACTGAATTTTTGTAAACATTTTTACATAAAAGAATAGTATACCAACCCCAGTTCTGTGATATTGGATCATCACTTGCTAGAGTTTCTTTAAGCCTGTTTTCTCTGGTTCTAGAAGACTTGCTATATATTCACCTTCAGTGATGCTGACCAGAACACTTCCAATAACTACTAACATCTTCATAACTTCTCATACATTCCTTCACAGGTTTAATCAGTAGTCAAAAAGTATAAGTCACGGTACTATTATTCAGAAAAGTGTTCAAATTAGGAGGACACTTAAGAGGAAATACAAATATGCAAAAAAAGTTGAAATAAGATTAAAAATATAGTGCAATGATACATTATTCACTATGGAATGATAATGATATAATATATATATTTTTAAAAACCTGGATTTCCAATGCCAGGAAGTTATTGCAGAAATTTCAGTCTTGAGATTGAAACCAAATCTTGTCTATCTGATGAGAATGCATTTTGTGACTTCAAGATGTTATGAAAAACTTGTGCTGTCAATGAAAAGCAAACCCTGATGAAGGAAGAGTGATGTTACTGAGCAGGAGTAAAGTTAATTAAAAGGATGAATTGTGAAGAAATTTAATGAAAGTAATTTTGAAATAACATTTTATGATGTTTTCTTTTAAATTACATATCAAAAAATGTGGCTCCCTTTACACGTCCTTTGTTATAAATTTACTTACTACAGGAAATTTAGGCCAACTAGATAAATACATCTTGAAAAATAGGTAAAGCAGGAAAATACATCTTGTAAAACAAAGATACAACCTATGTAATGTATGGCCTAGAATTTAGCATAAAATAGAGAACTGCACCCGATGGCAGTATGTGATTCAACAACAAAGTCAACATTAATTATTAGACAAGTGTTTATTTTAAAGCT